CCCCCCCCCCCGCCCCCTTCTCAACGACGTTTTTTGCGAGACACGGGTAGTGGTTTTTCCTCACATGTGCTGTCGAAGATGAGATTGCAACTGCATCTGTCCATTGTGGCTCTCCTTGTACATGTGGCTACTCTTGTTGCTGCTCAGACACACAATGCGGATTCCCTGGCAGCTATCCTGAGTTTACCAGCGTGTCCGGTACGTCCATCCATGTATATATTCCCAGAACTTTCAGACGGACAAGGCATCTTTTTCGTTTTCTCCTCTTTCTTTCTGCAACTGCTGACGGCCTCTCCACAACAGTTGAGCTGCATATTGAAGTCGCGGGCCAACTCGACATGTGCCCGAACCGACGTGAAATGCTCTTGCACTGATGAACCCTCGAAGAGTATCGCAAGTGCCTGCATTATCAACAATTGCACAATCCAGGAAGGCCTGAGTACGAAGTTTCCCCTCCGCGCGTCTCACACAAGCCGTCACAGAACTGACTTTTGATTGCGCTTGCAGCCGCACAAAACACGACGGCAACCGTCTGTGGACTCCCTGTGCGCAACGTCCAAGAATCCTTTCGCAGAGCCGACCGCACGCTCATCTCCGTTTCGGCCTTGTTCATCGTCTGCCGCTTCTCGTACAAAATCTTCTTTATGCCTCAGGATCTCTGGTGGGACGACCTCTCCCTCTTGATGACCTTTTGCTTCAGCCTTGCCGGCACCGTCATCAGCGACCTAGGGGCCTTGAAGAGCGGCATGGGTCGCGACGTCTGGACCCTGAAGTTGACTGACGTCGTTGCTTTTATAAGATTCCACTGGATCGCTGGGATCATGTACTTCCTCGACCTCATGTTCCTGCGCCTCTCGCTGCTGTTCTTCTTCGTACGCATTTTCAGCGTGGGCAAGACACCGGCTGTCATCTACGCGACCATGATATTCAATGTTCTTTTTGGAGTGACGACGACAATCGCCATGTTGTTCACTTGTCTGCCCGTAAGCTACGTCTGGGAAAAGTACATGAAGGACGACGCGATAGGTACATGCTCGAACAACACCGCGTTAATCTGGGCGCAAGCCATCATCGGCATCGCGCTGGATTTCTGGATGCTGTCGATCCCGCTCTACAATATTCGCAAACTTCAGATGCCGCTGAGCAAGAAGATCGCAACGGTGCCCATGTTTCTGGTTGGTTTTGCGGCCACGATTGTCGGAATATTACGCCTCATGGCCATTCAACAGGTTGGGGTAACAACTGCTGCCAATCCTACCATGACGAGAATGAAAATCACCCTATGGTCGTAAGTCCAACCACCTCTACCCTTTCCTCCTCTCGTAAAGTTGTCAAGCTGAACCAAAGAATGATCCCAGCATCCTCGAACTCAACGTAGGCATCGTATGCGTCTGCATGCCCACCTTGCGCCTCATCTTCGTCCGCCTATCTCCCTGCCTCGGCCGGGCCGCCAGAAAATCGATACTCTATAGCGGCAGCCAGAAGCTAGGCTCTCGCTCCAACCAGGGTTCTGGTTCCAGCACGCGTCATGACCAGGAGTACGCAATTAAGCGGCAGGTTTCCATCAACCAACGGTATTCATGGAAGGAGGAGACGGAGAATACGAAGAAACCGGACATTGAGGCCTTTGACGAGGTGATTGTGGAGGCGGATGGGAGGATAGTGGCGAGGCCGAGGGTGGTGGCGAGCGTGAATGGGATGCATTCGGATGATGAAGTGGAATTGTTGGAGTTGGATCAGCGGGCAGGCTTCAGGTTCAATGTTTAGGGTCATGTATAGGATGAATGAATGGTGACACAGTTCAACTGGATTCATGTTGTCTGTGTTGATGATAGTCTCGTTGTTTGGTATCGTGATGTTTCACGCGTCCCTTGTAGGCACGTGACGTATTGCAGGCAAGTGAGCAAGCAGCTTGGATAGATGATCTTCAAAGACAGGTCTGACTGACAGGACAGAGACTCCTAAACGGGCCCAGACATTGCGATTCCGTCCGTCTACAGCTGGGTGAAGAGCTGCATTCGAGTTGTTCCACGGGGAAACCAGATGCTGGCCGTGAGTCTTGCCGGTCTGTCGAAAACACGTAGGTAGTGCGTGATCGAGATGGATAGGTCGCACAGGTGCATGAGCCAAGAGGATCTACCCATCTTGGCAAAGCATAATGCGTGTGGTTTTGAACCTTGTGCATGCTATGTGGAAATATGGTGATGGGATTTATCCCGCTCGCGGAAAACATGTTAGGATCTTTTGTCCCGGCTCTAGACACCGGAAGCAGCCTTTTCCTGTACTGGTGCCTGACGAATGGGGCTGAAGTCGGTAGACCTCGTCGTACATTCGTCTCTCCAAATGCCCTGTAAATTGGCCCGAAACCTGTCCTATTGGGCGGGAAAATCTGTTGGCGTGCTTACGCTGCGGCAGTTGCTGGAGCAGTGGAGAATGGAGATCTCCCAAGACATTCATCAACAGCCCCATCTACATTCCATTCTGGATTGTCAGCCAGGATAGTAAGAGGCGTTCCCTGAGCCAAGGGTGGAGGGTATCGAATCTCGATAGATGACGCCCAGCCTTCCTCCGGTCTGCCAAGGGCGGTACAGGGGGGGGAATATTGATCACCGTGATCTTCAAACCTATCGCCAAGGCTCGCTGTACGACTGTGAAATGTGGAACGCCTGCCATCGATAGACCTACTCGAGCGAATTGAACATGGCCAGAATATTGTGTCTGATGAGCTGCAAGACCAAGTGGCCGGTGTGTTGCGTCAAGCGCCCATTGGCCGTGCCTGGGCGATGCGGCGTGGGCTGCGCTTCCGAAGAAGGGAGGCAAGAAGGTGTTGTCCAGTATGCTGGCTGTTTGATTGTCTGTCGGTGTCGGCTGGAACTTGGGCGGCCATTGTGGAGAGAAAAGACGAGGGCGAGGGCGAGGATTCGGGAAAGAGGTGTTGTGGCCCTACTTCCCCATTCGGCCATGCCTCTCACAAGGAACGTCTGCACGAGCCGCAAGGCACGAGGGAGGAGGTGGAGGCCCGCGCATAGGCATTGTAGTACAACCAGACTGGCAGACGGGAGTCACTGGACTGAACTGGACTGGACTGGACTGGACTGGGGGAAATCCGAGATTCCGATGCAAGACGTGTCAAGCGCTCGACCGGTGAAAAGAAGCTCTGACTACTGCAGGTGCAAATGTGCGTGACGAGGGCGCAGTTTATATGACCATGGAATTAGCGCTGCGTGAACTCGTATTTAGCATGGGGTTAGGCCGTGCCAAGCTCTACTAGCTAGCTAAGCGAGGTTAACTAAATATTATGCTATAAGATTTTGCAACGCGTTCTAAACCTATTCTAAATATATTCTATACTAGTAATACTATAAGCTACTACTACTATACCTATTACTAACGTATCCCTCTTATCCTATATAAGCAGATTAAAATATATTTAGAACGTGTTCTTAACAGGTTATAGAAGCACTATTAATAGTACCTTACCCTTAGCCGCGTCCTAGATAATATTAGGGTATAGCCTATAGTTAGCCCTAATAGGGTAGTTAAGATAGAGAGTAGAGAGCGCTACTACTATACTAAGATTAATAATAAGGGCACCTTATATAGAGTAAGAATAGGTTCTAAACGTGTTCTAAACAGGTTCTAATATTCTTAGGCTATTCTAGGTACTAGGGGCACTCTATATACCTATGCTAAAAAAGATTATAGGCTTAATATAGCCTACTATAAGGTTAGTAGGGTTAAGAAGACTAGCTAGCCCTCTATAATAGAGGTCTATAAGGTAAAGAGTAAATATATTATTAACCTATTCTTAACTTATTATACTAATATATATAGACTTCTATATAAAGGTTATATATAATTACTAGAATACTTCTTACTATAAGTTATTTAGAATATATTTAAAACTTATTACTAATATATTTTATAGAAGTTCTCTAAGCCTAGCTAGTAGCTACTATAGGCCCCCCTATAAATACTAATACCCTCCTAAATATAATTTAGAAGAAGACTTATAGTAGCTATAATAGTAATAAGGTATAGCCTGCAAGAACCTATTAAAAACACGTTACTAACTTATTATAGCTTAACTTTATTACTATATCTACCCTACTAAGGATTTAAGGTTATTAGGTTCCTTATACTATCTACGCTTATAATTATCCTAGCTATAGTAAGTTATTTATAATATATTATTAACCTATTCCTAACGTGTTTTAAGACTATTACTTTAATACTAGTATAGACCTTACTAATTCCTGCTAGAATACTGCCTAGTTCTACTTGTGGTATACTTTTGTAGAGCCTAGGGAGGATAGGGAGGATAGAGAAGATACTAGAGAGGGGGAGGGAGATAATAATAGCAACAAGTAGGAACACGTTAAGAACGTGTTAAGAATAGGTTCTAATAAACAATATATAATAGTATATAACCTAAAGGGGTAGTAGTAATTACTAAAATAAACTCTCTACTCTTCTCTTTTTTTTTCTATCTACTAAAAGTAAAGTACTATTTACTTTTATAGGGTCCTTTAATAGTATATAACTTTTTCTTTTAACTTTTATAGGTATTATAAAGCTCTAGTAGTCCCTTAGATTAAAGAAGAATCTAGTATTTATAGGTGTCTAGCTATAATATATTATTAATATATTCTAAATATATTTTAAGAGACTAGACTTATATCTCCTTTTTACTACTTTTACTAAATATTATTTATAGTGTAAAGGGGAGTAACTATTTGCTCCTCTTCTTTACTCTCTGCTTCCTCTTTAGCCTCTACTCTAGCTACTACTTCTTATTATAGACTAGCTATCTTAGAGGGTTCTTAAACCTTAGAGGAGGCACTTAGTGCAGTCTACTCTACTAGCAGAGAACGTATTATTAACGTGTTTAGAACACGTTCTTAAGCATTTACTATTAAGCTCCTATAGAAGATCCTTGCTTCTATAATGCCTTGTATTATAGTTCTGCTATAGTTTACTAGGGCTATTTAAACCTTAGGATAATACCTCTTAAGGTAGTAGATAAGATTGCCTCTATTAGAGAAGTAACGCTAAAATAGTTATTAACATATTATAAACGTGTTCTAACTTATATATATATATACTCTATAAAGTTCCTATACCCCTAATCTAGCCTAAATAGCCTAGTAGAAAAGCTTGCTAGGAAATACTATACACCTATTATTTAGGTAGGATATTATAGGAGAGAATACCCTAGTATTAGATAGAAGTAACTTAAGCTTAATATATTACTAGTATAAATCCTACTTAGTATTAGAATAAGTTTATAACGTGTTCCTAATACGTTCTATTATATACTAACTTTAAAAGATCTTTATAGACTATATTAACTAGTTATATCTAATAATATTAGGAAAGATAGATAGTAAAATAGTATTAAACTCTTAAATATAAAAAGTTCTTATAGAGTGTAAGAAGAAAGAAGAAGAAAGAGAAGAAGAAAGAATATATATTTATCTACTTATATATACTTATATAATAGACTAGAATATATTAAGAACTAGTTAGGAACTAGTTACTATATTTATAGACTAACCCTACCTTATATAAAAAGTAGCTATCTCTTTCTTAAGTTTAAACTGTGCCTTTTATAATTTAAATAGTGCCTTTTTCTATACAAGTTCTTCCTTATCTACCTCTAGCTTTTCTTTTCTCTTCTTTAGAGCCTAATTACTAAGAAGAGCCTTTTATTATAAAGTTTATAGTTATAGACTAATAATAAGTTAGGAATATATTATAAACATGTTTCGCGAAGCATACCTTTAGGTTGCTATTAGTAGAGGAGAAGAGCCTAGTAGTAGAGAAGATAGAAAAGGGGCTAGTAAACTTCTTTCTAATACCGCTCTACTACTTGCCCTCTAGCTTTAGGCTTTTAAGCATGCTCTTTTATTTCTTATTAGGACTAAGATATATCTAGTTAAGTTAGATATAGCAAGACTTGCTTTATTATTATCTAGAGTATTATTATTATTATAGGACGCGTTCTAAACACGTTCTAAACACGTTTTAATTAGTAAATATGTATAACGCTAGTATAAGACTTACTTTCTCCCCTTTAAAGCTTTTTAAGGTACCTTTACTTAAGCCTATTAGGAGTTCTATAGTTATAGTATATTCTAAACTTACTCTAGGCTTTAAACTCTTTTATATCCTATAGATCTATCTAGTATATACTATATAATATTACTTATATAATTCTAATAGGTTAAGAATAGGTTATAAACTTACTTCTAAGTAGCCTTAAGAATACTTATATACTTACTAGTTTTGTATCCTTTCTAGCCTGCTTGCTTAGCTATATTTAAATAAGATTCTAGTTTTTCCTATACCTCTTTTAATATTTTACTATAGTATTATATAATCCTAGTAGTAATTACTAGGTTTTTCTTATAGATTACCTAGTTTTAGGTATCTTTAGAGGGTTTATATTCTAATTATATAAGAATAAGTTATAAATATATTTAGAATAGGTTTAGAATATGTTTACTTACGTAAGAGGAGGTTAGCAAGCTAAAAGTATTCCTCTACTATTAATACCTGTAGTAATTTACTTAGATATAAAGAGGTAGTATTATCTAGCTCTCTTTTATATACTTTATAAATACTTCTTTATAGATATACTTAACAAAATCTTATATAAGATTAAAGTTGCTAGCGCTAGTCACGCTTGTAGGGATTAATTAACTAGAGATAGTACCTAAGTCCTAGAAACAAGTTAGAAACACGTTATAAATATGTTGCGGTGCGCTATAAAACTTACCTATTATCTACTTATTATACATGTTAATAGTAGTCCTATAGAATCCCTATAAGTAAATATGCCTCTATAACACTTATCTTTTTATAAGTGCTTTACACTTCTAAAAGAAGTTAGTAATAGTAACTTAATATATCTTAGTTATATCCTTATCTATAATAATTTAGCTAAGTGTAATAACTACAACGTGTTAGAAACGTGTTATAAACCTATTCTTAATGCGTACACTTCTTTTCCTATAGGTAGAAGATTACTATTAGAATCTCTACCTATACCCTATATAACCTCTTATATAATATATCTATCTAGAACATGTCTTAATCTAATAGAATTAATACCTGCTCTTTAAAAAGGCAAATAATTAAGTTACCTAAGCTTAATATAAAGATTTGCTATATATACGCCTGTAGTAACGTGTTAGTAATGTGTTCTAAACCTGTTCTCTTACACTACGTATAGTTTTAGGATCCTAATGCTTTATCCTCTACTTATAGTGTACTCCTCTAAGGCTACTCTTAAATAGGAACTATAGAAGCTTTTCACGCTTTATAATACGCAAGATTTTATCTTTATTTACAAAGCTAATATATATTTCTTTAATAGAATAGAAACCTTTAAGTTAGAGATAGGTTTAGAGCTAGGTTAAGTTTAGGAACTAGGCTATAACAAGTTAGGAACATGTTTGTAATAGGTTGCAAATAACTTATATTATGTAAGCTATAGAGTAAGCATAGGCTACAATACCTTTACTACTTCCTTAATATTACTATTAGATAGTGTTAAGGGAGGAGGAGGTATATATATATATATACTAAAAGAAATAATAGCAAAAAAAGGTATTGCTACTATATCTATTAGTATAATTACTTAGAAGATAACTTTATATAGGATTTTAAATAGAGATCCTTGCCCTTATAGATAATTAACGCCTAGAATATATTAGGAACGTGTTAGGAATAGGTTGCAATATGCCTACCACACTTCTTTATCTAGCTTAACTATAGCTTAACTATAGAATATAAAGCAGGACTACTAGAAAGATTTAATATCTCCCTAGTTAGAAGACCTTATAGATATATAGAGTCTACCTCTAGTAGTACCTAACTAAAATAATGTTTTTTCCTAGTAGTAGATATTAGGCTGTAGTTCTAATAGCTAATATATAGTTAAGCCTGTTCTATAATTTACTAACTTATTATTAACACGTTTTAAATATATTTAAGTTTTGCTCCCTACCTAATTTACTATAGTCCTTATTATAGGATAATAAGATACCTAGTAGTCCTTACAAATCCTTAAAGAGAAGCGCTTAATAAGGCTATAATAATAGCTTCTTGTTTATAGTTCTCTTTGTAGAATTTTCTTAGGTACTACACTTTTTAAGGTTTAGATCTAATTGTATAATGCGTTATTAATAACGTAATAAGAACACGTTTGTAACGTGTTCTTAAGATACTTACACGCTTTTACCCTAGAGTATTAGTATTTATACTAGCTTGCTAGCTAGCTATTAAAGAATAGTGAAGTTGTAGGCCTGTTAAGATAGATAGACTAGTGGGAGTATTGTACCTGCTAGAATTAGAATAGTTTAAGAACGTGTTCTTAACGTGTTACCTATATAGCCTGCATAAGCACCTCTTCTCTTATTAGGTAAGAGCTATCTTTATATTGCTAAACTAGTATTATATACCTATACCCTTAGCTATATAATTAAGGGTATGCTAGGAGAATAGCTACATGCTTAATAATTTTGTAACAATTGCTAACCAGTAGGGTATCGCTGCGTTCACCTC